CTAAACTTTACAAAGACAGACGTGTTCTTACATCATCCAGTCATTCATAGTACAGGAAGCGACAGATTAGGACGCACAGACCTCGACCTGACCCAGACCAAGAGCGTGAGGAGATCTGCCCTGGAGTCTTCTATAATTGCATTTCTGAATGAATCTGTGACGTGATGTCAGAATTTTTTTTCTCTTCTCTCATGAACACACGCACATAAAAGAGTGCTCGATCCTGAGAAAGTGGGTGAAGTCACTGATGAATTCATTCGGAAGACAGCTCAGTGCCCTGTAGTGTCTTGTCCTCCAGCATCATTGCTTATGCCTGGCCCATAAAGCTATCCCACAAGCCACCTGGGAGCGCCCAAATCAATCTGCATCGGAGTCACGTCAGCAGAAAAATAATTGTGCTCCAAATATAGCACTTTCCCTAAACCTTGTCTCCCATTTCTCCTGACACACACATCAAACAGACAGCTCTAACAAGAGCAGAAATGCATGAGTGTGAGATAGCAGGAAAATAATGAATGCTTTCCAGGGTGTGTGTGTGTGTGTGTGTGTGTGGTTACACAGCTTCTGCACAGGTTCATGCTTACATATGAACCTGTATAGAATTTAAAAAGGGACTAATATATTTTTGTGGCTCACATATGCTGCAGTGCCATCAATACTGTCTAAAGCATTTAGACTGTGACAATCTCACTTTAAATCTCACTTTAAAAGAACAGTTCACCAACAGATGAAAACTGAAAACTAATTATTACTCTCATATTGTTATAAACTCAATTGACTTACTTTGGAACACAAAATATGAAAAAATCTGGCCAGCTTTCCCATGACTCGAGCCAAAATGGCAACAACAACAAAAAGCAGCATTAAAGTATCATAAAAATGGCCCGTATAACTTGTCATACAATATATTTGTGTGACAAACAGACTGAAATGTAAGTAATTTTTTAATGATAATCCAGTAAGATGTTGTGTTATCCTGATCAACAATTCACTGAAAATATCCTCAAAAGAAAATGCACCTACTATATAGATCATTCACCTCTTGTGTTGCTAGATGAACTATTCCTTAAAATAAACATTCTGAGACAAACATCCAGAATAACCTCAATTTGCTATACATTTGAAAAAGGCATGCAACCAAATGGCCTACATTGATTAATTGTATGGGTCTGTAGTGTTTTTGGATGGGGGCAGACGGATGAATATTCACGAGGACTACTAAACCAGGGGTGCTTCTCAATATCCCTCCTCGTCTCCTCGCTCCTCCGTCCTCCATCCTATGACCCGGAAACCAATCGAGCTCAGCCATCTTGAAGGACATCTCAATTCTCTAATTGCACCGCGAGGAGGCGAGGATCGAGGAGTGAGGAGGCTTCCAGAGGAGCTATGAGCGAGGATACACAGGTGTACCCTTTGCGGAAGAGTTTTATCGACTAAACATGACGCACGTATCAATTCTCCTCCCCCTTCACATCTGTCACAATCATTTGAATTTATACTTTACTTTTGTAGTTTACATAAACCACACAACTCACATATTTCAACAAGGTATCTTGCTTTATTATTATTTATTATGAATTTCTTAAATAAACAAACTTTAACAACATAAGGGCAGATCCTTTGAGCACTGCCGATGACGCAGTGAAGTGACGCTCGAGTGATCAAGTATTCCAATGTATTAAAAAAGCTTTCATTCAATTCCTCCGTCCTCGTTTTTTTCCCTTGCAGCCTTCCCTCGCGTCCTACAGGGGGTGGAGCTGAGACGCGAGGAAAGGAAGCGAGGAAAGGAAACGAGGATGCACAAATAAGAAATGAGAAGCACCCCAGGTGTCACACAGAAACATAGGTGGCATGATGTATTTTAGTCTCAATGCTGCCCTCCACTGGCAAACGATAACAACTACAAACGTAATAAATGTCATCTAATGGTAAACATTTATCAAATGCATCAATGCATAAAGAAAAAAATATATTTTTAGGCAGAAACCCCACAAAATTGATCAAGTACTATAAGTATCTACACACAAAAGTTTTTGGGTCTCATAGTGCATTTGCTTTGGGGTGATCAAACTATTGCAACTTTGATGTCAAATCACGTCTTTTTACCAGACAAATTGATTGATGAATGATTGATTGATGATTATAAACCAGCTGTTGCTGTGTAGCCAACTGCAACTAGACAGATTTCCCTCTCCTCATGGCAACAACACTGAGCAGCTGCAGCTTAAATCACCAGTGTGCTGCAAGCAAAATTGATATAGTTCATCTCCCATCATGCGCAGTTTGAGATTTACATAATTTTAGACTATATGTAAAGCTGTTAAGACCAAACAAGCCATTTAAGGAGATTTCTAATTATTCAATGTGCTGTAATATGTGTAGGGCTACTATTTACCAGCTTTCCAGACATTTCTCCACATCTACAGCAACTAGTTCAATACTATTCATATCATTCAAATCTGAATGTTGTCAGGGAACATTGTAAGACACTGAAAAAAATTGAGAATCAACTTCAGAAACAGCTACTAAAGCAACGAGCCCGTTCTCATCCCAAGGCGTCATAAACTGACGCTTTTGACATTTCGTCTAAATCCAACGCACATGGCACCCTTTAGCGTCAATATGAGACGCAGATATATATCTGGGCCAGAAGGCGCCTCCTAGTGGTCTAAGCCTAACCCTACCCCAGACCTAAACCTACCCATAACTATGTTGACGCTAAAGGGTGCCATGTGCGTTGGATTTAGACGAAATGTCAAAAGCGTCAGTTTATGACACCTTGGGATGAGAATGCGTGAAGCAACAGTCACATAAACCAAAACAGCCACTGACTGCATCTATGTTTTATTGAAGAAAAATATTTGTACAAATTAAATGCCAGTGCAATTAAATACCATTATTTTAAATGTGCAATTTCTGCACCATTCTAATGATAATTCTTATCTGGCAAATTTGGTTTTCTGAAAATATTTATGTGTATGATCCATTCCATGATCCATAGTCGAAAACTTGATCAGCAAGTTAAGCCAAGTCAAGACATTTATTAGACAGTGCTTTGTACAATAGATTGTTTCAAAGCAACTTCACATTAACAAACAGGAAAATAACAGTGCTAATGTTGTAAAATGTCCAACGGCAATGCAGTGATTGACTGGCAACAAATGTTTAAATGTATATACAGCACAAGCCTTCATATACTCGAAACTTTTGATATTGAGAGCTGTCATAAGAATGAGCACAACTCCTCTCAAGATATTTTATAAGGTTATGAATAATTTACAGACCAGAAAGCAAAAGAAACTGCCAAAACAAAAAATAATGAGTTTTTATACATTCTTTTCAACTGGTTTCATCTAAGAGTCACAGTTTTTTAAATTCCAAAGATGAGTCAAGAAATTCAAAACGAATGAGTTTTAATGAGAAAATAATCCAACGCAATTAACAGTGCATCTACACCCAAACAATAACCGACAATGAACTGGACTACACAGGAACTATAATAATTCATTACATTTATATAGCGCTTTTCTAGGCACTCAAAGCGCTTCACATAAAAGGGGGAATCTCCTCAACCACCACCAATGTGCAGCATCCACTTGGATGATGCGACGGCAGCCATATTGCGCCAGAACGCCCACCACACACCAGCTTACTGGTGGAGAGGAGACAGAGTGATAAAGCCAATTAGTATATAGGGATGATTAGGTGGCCACGATGGACAGAGGCCACTGGGCAAATTTGGCCAGGATGCCAGGGTTACACCCCTACTCTTTCGAAAGACATCCTGGGATTTTTAATGACCACAGAGAGTCAGGGCCTCGGTTTAACGTCTCATCCGAAGGACGGTGCTCTTTGACAGTATAGTGTCCCTGTCACTATACTGGGGCGTTAGGACCCACACAGACCACAGGGTGAGCACCCCCTGCTGGCCTCACTAACACCTCTTCCAGCAGCAACCTGGTTTTCCCAGAAGGTCTCCCATCCAGGTACTAACCAGGCTCAGCCCCGCTTAGCTTCAGTGGGCAACCAGTCTTGGGTTACAGGGTGATATGGCTGCTGGCAATACTGACTATACAATAATAACAAATTCAAATATGAACCGCTGTGATGATTAAATGAATATCCATGGTAACAAACAAGTGGTGGGAAATATGAACAAAGACAACAGGAAGTAATGACAAGCAAATTAAAAGTCCACGAAAATGAAACTAAAAAAACAGATGACTAAATAGTGACACTAAGGGCTATGCAGACTGTATTGTTGTTAATTCTACAACACCCCGACTTGTAAAGCTAATAGGGTTCGAGGGCACCTGACATGACCTTTTTTAATGCTTATATAAGTAACGTGCACTATAAACGTTTGGGGTCAGTAAGATTTTTCTATAAATCCTTTAATTCATCAAGGATGCATCAAATTGCTTTCTATTCATGAAAGATTGCAAAAAAAAAGTGTACCACACAATTATTAAACAGCACAATAATAATAGTAATAATAAATGTTTCTTAAGCACTAAATCAGCATATTATAATGATTTCTGAAGGATAATGTGACACTAAAGACTGGAGTAATGATGCTAAAAATTCAGCTGTCATCACAAGTATACATTTTTAAATATATTTAAAAAAAAAAAGAAAATGGTTGTTTCAAATTGTACTAATATTTGACAGATTTCTACTGTATCTTTGGTCAAATAACTGCAGCTTTGGTAAGCATAAAAGACTAAAAACTTTTTACTAATCCCAAACTTTTGAACGCTAGTGTAGCCTATATTATATAGGCTTATATAATATAAAGCTTATATAATCTATGCCAAAAGAATGAATGATTGTTTCCCAAACATTTCAACTGTCAAGCTCAAAGTGCCACAGAAACACTGTTTTAAACCGGGATTGGAGAAAGTTCCCTAACATCAGACATTTTACACACATGATTTTTAAGAGAATCAGATTTCTGAAATTAGAGGAGCAATGATAGGAGCTGATTGAGATGGACTCACCATTCAGAGTCCACAGGTGTGATGTCAATGCGAGGGGGTGCGATGAAGGGCAGGGTAGTTGGTCTTGCCATGAACTCGTCATCCGGACTGCGTGACCTCTCCATCTGCCGCCATGATAAAGGAGGCAACTGTAGGTTCCCAGAGAACCGGCGCCTCCTCCTGTGCAGGTCTACACCCAGCGTGCAACCAGTAGAGGTGAAAGATTCACTTAGTCTGCAGTCCGGAGGCTCTTTGCTGTCCTGGAGAAAGAGAGGGTGAAAGGAGAGGGTAAAGATGGGGATTCCTTTCAGTAGAACTGAAACTGAATAGTATGGCAATAACTTGAGCAGACGTGGGAAAGTATTTCATACCACTAGAGGGCATCATCGCCTTTCACTTAACATTCAATTTAAATCTTTCTTGTAAAGACTGTACATAAAATTACATTTAATAGAAGTATGCTCTACAAACACATAAGTTCTAAATGTGGAAAGAATCTAAATAAAACAGAAAATAGCTGCAATTAATATTTCACATTTGGTTAAAGGATTAGTTCACTTTTTAAAAAAACTTTTGCTGATAATTTACTCACCCCCATGTCATCCAAGATGTCCATGTCTTTCTTTCTTCAGTCGAAAAGAAATTAATGTTTTTGATGAAAACATTCCAGGATTTTTCTCCATATAATGGACTTCAATGGTAGCCAAACGGTTCAAGGTCTAAATGACCGTTTCAGTTCAGCTTCAAAGGGCTTTAAACGATACCAGACGATGAATAAGGGTCTTATCTAGACTAGAGAAACGATCTGTCATTTCAAAAATAAATAAAAAAGTTAAATTGTTATAGGCACAAATGCTCGCCTTGCGAACTCTCCTGTTCGAACTCGTACATCAAAATGAACGAATCTTTTTTCGAGTCATTGACTCGTTCATCAAAATGAACAAATCTTTTTTCGAGTCATTGACTCGAAAAAAGATTTGTTCATTTTGATGAACGAGTTCGAACAGGAGAGTTCAATAATTAAACGGGAGATAAATAAAAATTGGCAATCGTATTGGGATAATGAGGAAACAGGGAGACATTTACATTTAATACAACCATTGGTAGGTAGAGGAAGGAATTCAAGTGGGAGAAGGAAAGAAGACTGTATTATTTCTAGATTAAGACTGGGACATACAGGACTTAATTCAACAATGCAAATAATAGGAAAACATCCTACAGGATTATGTGATTGGTGTGGAATCAGAGAAACAGTGGAGCATGTACTTATTAAGTCAAGTGTAATAAATATTCTGAAGAAAGAAGTAAGATAATTGAAGAATTTGAGATTAAAGATAATCAACAATTAACATTAAAAATGGTTTTAAACTCAGTAGAGGGGGGTAGGTTAATAATAAAGTTTTTAAATAGAACAAATTTGATCTATAGAATATACAGTAGATAGGCTATTAGTGTTTTTAGTATCAGTATCCCGCTCTGGAAGATGAGGGACTTTGGCTGTAGATGGAGGAGCTGAACAGCAGCAACATTGAAAGCACGAGTCCTGATTGTTCTGGGAGTTGTGAAATTGTCTCTGATCTATTACCTACAGTAGATGGCGGTAATGCTCTTTTTAAGAATGCGAACCGCCAATAAGCCCAAAGAAGAAGAAGAAGAACAGGTAGGACTGTGCGATATGACGATATATATCGGATGGACGATATAAAAAGCCTATCGTTTCATATTATGCCATATCGTTTATATCGTGGTGTCGCAAAAAAACATTGTTTACGGCAAAAATTTGGATGACTGCGATCTTTCACGCCACCATGGGGATGCAGGCAGAAACGTGAATAACAGCATGAATGAAGGGGTGACAGAACCGGGTGTTTCCGAGCAGGAGAAGAACCAGCCAGAACAAACCGAGGAGCTCGTTCCTAAACGAGGGGCTAGATGGTTTGGTTAACTTTCTATTTGTTGTATTGACCATTTTAGGGTGGTTTGGATAAATAAACGCCAGTCTCAAATAGAGGCCTAGTCTGTTTTTTAGTTTCGGTTTGTATTTAATCTTCTAAAACCCGTCAGATCGTCTGTTTAAACCAGTTCTGTGGTGCAGATTGCGCGCATCTGGGCGGAGTTGTTAGCGCAAGCAGAGTTAGCGGAGGCCGGAGAGAGAAGGAGATCGTTTTACAGGGTATAGCCTTCATTCTTTCTTGTTGATGTGTTTCGGGCAACAAGTTCATAGGCTCGATGGATATTACCAGTAATGTATTGTTCAGCCCATGGCTGTCACATCGTTTCGTTTTTTTAAATTCTGCCAATAATCTAAAAGCTATGGTTATATTAAATGTACAATTATCGTTATGTATATACTGACTTCACCCTGTGCTGCAACATACATTTAGTTGTACATTCATTTACAGAAATCAGCTGGTTGAATTCAAATTGATGCTGTTATCGGATTTTCAGGTGATATTCCAAATTCATTCAGTTAACGGACGCTCTGAGGTAAAGTGTTCAGACTGCAGACTAAGCAACGATTGTATTTAATTGTACAGTACTATCATAACATAGTACAGACATGATCTTAATTCCATAATGTCCTTAAACATAACAATTTGCTGGCCATAAACTGACAGCGCGCGTCCGGTGTGCGATACCTCGAGTTGCTATAGACACGGCGCGCGCGCTTCTCGTCCGGTGAGCGACCCCCTTTAGACATAATAAAGTAGCCTAGGCTAATTCTTAGATTAACGGATTTGTTAAACACATTTATAAATAAAACGTAATCTTCGTTATCTCTAGGCCTACACTAAATGAAAGGCCTGTCTCATAGACGCCTGCCTCAAATACAAGCCGGTGCAGTTCGGCGATTTGGGAAAATAAAAGCCCGGGCTATTATTTGATGTTTTACAGTATATCGTGATATATATCGTTATCGGGATATGAGATGACTTCTATCGTGATATGAGATTTTGGTCATATCGCCCAGCCCTAAGAACAGGAGAGTTCGCAAGGCGAGCATTTGTGCCTATAACACTTTAACTTTTTTATTTATTTTTGAAATGACAGATCTTTTCGCTAGATAAGACCCTTATTCATCGTCTGGTATCGTTTAAAGTCCTTTGAAGCTGCACTGAAACGGTCATTTAGACCTTGAACCGTTTGGCTACCATTGAAGTCCATTATATGGAGAAAAATCCTGGAATGTTTTCATCAAAAACATTACTTTCTTTTCGACTGAAGAAAGAAAGACATGGACATCTTGGATGACATGGGGGTGAGTAAATTATCAGCAAAAGTTTTTTTTAAAAGTGAACTAATCCTTTAAGGCGAGTCAGATAAATCTTCAGTCTTATATATTCAATCGTGTTACAACACTAACAAACAAGCAAAAAAAAGTAATATGGTACTGTTGTGTTTTTTGGACGTGGTATTGTTTTAGGTATTTTGGAGTGCCATGAAAATCCATGATAAATGCATACTGGTTAGCAAAGTTCTACCACCCTAAAAACAACATCTTACTATGATACTTCCATTGTACGTTTTGTAAGGAAAAGGAATAGAAACAAACAAAATAAAAATAAAAGTCCCCCACAGATCTGAGATATGAGAAATACTTTGCATTGATTGATGCTGTAGTCGTTGTAAATACATTTCCCATTACCTTACCAGACTGTAAGTTTGAAGCAAATGCTTCTTTCAATTTAGTCATCCTCAAAAGGAGCACACAAAATCAAACATACACACGACCTGTAGTCAAACAAACAAATGGAGCTCCAATTGACCACTTTTGGTGGAAACAGGGGAGGCAAGGTGCGCATTTAATTCTGCAATGATTTGGGCAGCTGTGTGTCTGTCTGTGTGTTTTGGATGCAATCAGGGTTAGTACCCGAACATCCCTTTCAGACAGCTTCATCTTGCATCGACAGTTACTCCTGTTGGATGTGGTTCATCCAACGTGGTGGTATGCTGACAGAATACCATAGCTCTCGATACACCACAAAGGCCCTGTCCCAAATGGCACACTCCGGACTTGTGGACTTCCTCAGAGTCCACACTTCGGTGACGTCATGTAGTGCAGACCTATAGGGCCCTTAGCGCGAGTCCGCGAGGGCGCATTGAGAGGTATTTTTGGGACAGACTCGATCGTCACGCCGGAAACAGGAAGACGGTCTGGTTGTTGTTATGGACAGGAGCTACAGGTTCGGGGAAATATGCTGCCTATTGTTCTTGTGTTTACATATGACTCAGTAAAGCCCTAACATTCTGTTCTATTTATTTAATGAATCATAATGCGATCGTATTATTCAGCTCGCTATTATTAGCCTATATGTTTGAGACATCAACCACTGGTCGATGATCATAATGTTTGAATAAACTTGTCATAAAAACCGTAATGATAATTACACTTAAACATTTTCTTCTCAGCCATGTTAACAATTGTCCGTGAGCGAAATCTCCTCCCATCCGTTGTCTGATTGGCCTTTCGCAAGGATTCCTGGGTAGTTAAAGTGCGTGGAGCCTGTATCTATGGGGGCTTCGCGGAAGACCACTTCAAGGGTACAAAGGGGGCGCTGCTGAGCACACTTCAGAGCGTTAAAATGCTAAATGGGACGGCCTACGGACTCGTAGACTCGGCGAGCACGCGCAGTTTAAGTCCACGAGACCGAGAGTCCGCATGAAGTGCGCCATTTGGGACAGGGCCATAGACTTGCTGTCCTGGTCACAGAAGAGTCAGCGAGACGCGCACCAACAATTTGTCCACTTTTAAACTCTGATATGTCTCCTAATTATGTTGTGTCGATTGCAATATTTTACAGCTGTGCCATAGCTCTGCTAATTCAACCTTCACACTCTGCTCTACTGATGGAATGTAAAATTAGTGAAGATTGGCCACCAAGCATATGAAAACTCCAACATTATGGCTGTATCCGAAAACTTAGGCAGCTGACTAGTTGCCTAGCTGTCTTATAGGCAATTACTCTGCAGGCAGCATGTGCACACAAAGGTACGTCACAAAACTGATTTTGAACAGACTTCTGGGGCAGAGTAACAGTTTAATGATTTACAGAAAATTAGAGTGAGCTTTGGTGAGAACTAAACAAATATTTAAATACTGAAGTAGGGATTTACTGACCAGTAGTAAAAACTGGCCAGCAACCGTAACTCTCAGATGCCATCTTTCTTTTTCTAGCTCAACTGTCACCAAATGGAACGCATAGGGTTGTGGGATATCAAAGACAGCGAAGGATTCATCTATGCTGCCTTCAAAAATCAA